AGAGCTAACCAGGTCTGGTCTGGTCTGGTGTATTGGCTCTTCACCGTCACTAAGTGATCCCCTCTGGGAATCAATTCAATTAATTCATTAAGTCAGTGGTTATGCTGAGGTCTGAGCTCTGACAACCTTGAAGCCTGAACCTAGTCCTCTGATTTCCATAGAAGAACCACCACAACATAGTCATGTTATGTATCATAACCATTATCCATAACCATTTATATATTTAACTTAACTCCAAGCTATAATCATAATTAGGCTTAAATAATTTGGCCTCTCAAATTTGGGGCCTGATGGGAGTTGTAAGCTGCAGCAACAGTAACCAGCTACTACAGAAATAAAATGTTGGTTTGAATTCCTGAGAACATTCTGCTACCTGGCTGCCTCACTCCATTGAACCACACACAGTCCTGTTCGCCAGCCTGCTCCCATCTTCAATCAGCTGGTGAAAGGCAAGACAAAAATCTATACAGTTTACAGTGCAATGTGTAGCAACATCAATCAGACTGCATTGGCTCATACAGGGATCTACATTACAGCAATACACAGAGAGCAGATTTATACGACACACACTGTTAGTATTGAGCCTGGAATATCTATAGGAGCTATGATATAACTAACAACACAGGCACTGTGGTCCATACAGAGTTATGATAATGTTATTGAAACTCTAGTGCAGGGGTATTAAACTCATTCGGTCTTCAACAAGGTTGAACATTTGTTATATATCCTCGCTGACAAAATGTGCCCAAAAAATAGTCCTCCATCCATCATTTTTTGAATTTTCTATGTTCCCTGACTGTCTAGCTTTCATTTAGGTGATTATTAGTGAGCTGGACACAGTCAAGAAAATGTATAAATGTTTTACATTTTAGTCATTTAGCAGACGCTCTTATCCAGAGCGACTTACAGTTAGTGAGTGCAAAACGTTTTCATACTGGCCCCCCATGGGAATCGAACCCACAACCCTGGCGTTGCAAGCGCCATGCTCTACCAACTGAGCTACAGGAGGAGCTAATGTAGGTCCATTATCATTTCTACACAGTTTCGATTGGGTTTTGGTTATTTTAAAGTATATTGAGTTTGTATGTTTGACACCCCTGCTCTAATGGTTCTGAACTAATGCTAGCAGAATTAATCAACTCAGAATTGAGAGGACTGAGTAATCTAGAACAATAGCTCTAGGTCGAAGGGAGGTTTAGCCATCATTCATTTCAATGTGTTTACCTACAAATCTATCTGATAATGTATTTAAAAAGTCCGAAGTGTAACACAAACTAGAAACATATAAGCACCATGTAATAATTCTGGCAGAATTGAAGCTGTACAATGAAAGATTGATCTATGACTCATTTAAGGCTCAGTCCCCAGGCAGTCATGTCCAGGATAAGTGTGAGCATGTAGCCTGTGTGTGTCCACCCCGCCTTGGATTACGAACATCTGCCTGCCCTCAACCTGCCCTTTGCCTGCCCCTTGTTATAATAAATATTCTGAGAATCGTACTATCTGCCTCCTGTGTCTGCATCTGGGTCATATCCTGAGTCGTGATAGTGTGCATGAGTTGGTGAAAGAGTGATAGGATCCCATTACTAAGTTACTGACTGACTGTACACCACAAAATAAGCAAAAGTTGGATGAAAAGTTGAATGTGTCTGTAGCAATAGACAGGTAGACCTACTTCTCCTGAAGGGCCTACCCATACACAAAACAGCACACACACGTGGCCACGCATATGCTCATATGGACGAGCACACACACACACACACAGAGATAATGAATGGACAGGAAGGCCAACTTGTTGCCTGACTATTGCTATGATGTCATCTGAGAACATGCTGTGGGTGTGCTTGCTGTGGTTTCCACTCCAGCTCAAAGCGTGTCTCTACAGAGAGATTGTTCACAGCAGCAGCCAAGCATGGGCCTTTAACAAACACATAGCTATGACCTTTGAAGGTGGTAAAGGCCAGAACAATAGAGGATGTTACAGTTTCATTTGTCCATTTCACTTTCACAACAATTTCAAGTCACATGATGTCAATATCCCCCATTTGAATCAACTGAAATTGATACATTGTAATAGATCCATTATTAGCTGCATGATAATAAGAGACATAGTTGCAGGAGACATTTCTAACATCATTCAATTAATGGCAAGAAAAAAACACTGAGCTTAAATAAATGTATATTTGACATGTTTGTGAGTGATGTGGACTAATTTGGTGAACGTACCCTGAAGCAACAGATAGACCATTCCAGCACCTTCCATAGCTGCGCGTGTGTGGGCAGAACCTTGGTATGGTATCACCTAATTGATGCAGTGACTACACCGGTGACGTCGGTCCAATAGCATTATGCCATGAAGTCGGCTCCTCTCTCTCCAGACCAATTCGCATGCACTTTACAGAGCCACTGCGCCGCCGCGCGCACACCAACACTGCACTCCGTCATGACCGGCTCATGCACCATGCAATAGACAGCACTCACACACCCAAAATCCACAGAGATCTCATTCACTCTAGTATAACTCCCTCTATACACACTCCATATAGGCACTGTTACATCATATAGCAGCCACAGACCCGGTGCGATTCACAAATAGCGCCTATAAGCCGACGATGCTATTCATGCTTATCTGTCTCTTTCATTACTGCAATGAGGCCAAGGATGCCTGTCACATCTGTCAGATCTTATTTGCAACCCCCAACCAAGTCAAGTCAAGCCTCAGTCTCTCAGCCCCAGCTGAAGCAGCCGATACAAAGACGCTTTCAGCATTTAACATGTTCACAGACAGAGAGACAGTCATTGCTGGTTTATTGCGATCTACAACTTCAGCATGCAATTCATTTCCTATATGGGCAAAACTCCACTCCGGGCACGATATATGATATTCATCGACCTATCCACACACACTGGCCCGAGATACGTTGCCAATAGCAACTTCCAACACCCCACAGTTGGACCGCCCAGAAGAGCTGGACGCGAGCCGCAGAGGCCAGGCAGAGCTCCAGTTCCCGCCAGCACCTGCACCATCGCCCTCGCAGTATGCTTGTGTGTGTACGTTGTGCCATACGTGCGCAAAAACAGACTCTCCCCCATATGTCGCCTTCACACCAGCCACTCAGCCAGACACTGTCAACAGTGATAGCCGGCTGGCTGACGTTGTATGGGAAGCCTTATAACCGCTGTCACTTAAACAAAACACAACAAACGAGCACAGCACGCACAACCAATATTCCAAGTCCAGTCCTCTCCCCGACCGCCGCCCTGCTTACCTCTTTCCATGGGCTGCCTTGTCTTTTTTCCCCTTCGGCCTTCTCTTTCGGGCCTGGATGGCCATCACTAAGAGATTAGATTTATGCAGAGGTAGGACCGAGGTCCGAGCACGGTGAGGGAGTGAGAAGGGGACAGGGAGAAAGAACAACACATCAGTCTCGAGCTATAGCTGGCCCGTCCAAGCATCGTTGACTAAAAAGGTTGGAAACCCCGCACGCGCATAATTTCAAGACTTCTAACCAAAACCAACAGAAGCTGTCCGGGATGCAGAATATTTGAAGAATAAAAGAGATTTCCATACCTTTCCTGGAGCTCATGATGTTTTCCTCCTTCCCCTCAGCAGCAGCGGCAGCTCAGCGCCAGCAGCCGGGATCTCTCGCTATCCAGCCTTCCCTCCGGAGAACGCGCACTCCCTCTGTCGTTAGGAAGAGGAGGCGCGTTTAGGCACTGGAGTTCTATGCTACATGGTCGCGCACAACTGGCAGAAAGACTGACTCCTGTCAAAATTATTATACTTTCCCAATGTATTGTCTCTGATGTCTTTAACTTGAAAGGATTCCCCCTGCCTGCATCCATATATCACCACCTCAAAGCACTATTAGTTATTAGGCCTATAGGCTAACTGGGGCATATTGTGAGCAAGGGAAAGTCTCCAGCTAAAATATCCACCCTATTTGATATTTTTGCAAGACATTTTATTGACACGTTGGTTTACTTTTCTGTCAGAGTTTCCATCTTTTAGGATCCGATCCAATGTGGAGAACTGTTAAGGCTAAGCTACTGGAGGACTGACTATGCTCAAAGGGTGCCCAGACATGGTCAGATAGGCCTAGCTGGTTAGGTGAATGGGTTTGGAAATTAATCTGTTGTGGCACCCCATAATCCGTAGCCATGGTGAGTCATATGGCAAACGTAATCCGTTATTATCTCACCCTGGAACACAAACATCCCTATCTCTGACCCTGAACAACAATTTTCCTACAAATAGGCCTATTTCTCAAATAAATGTTGAATGAGAATAGGCCTATCTGGGATTGGTTAACTGGGATTAACCTACATTTTCTAATTTTAGGCCTAGTTTATTACTAGGCTATTAAAAGTATAAAGTATGAGGTATCGGCATTGAACAATATGTGGAAGCTGCTAAATCATAGGCTACTCATAAATAAAATATATTGTTACATGCATTTGCACGCATGACTGTAAGTCGCTTTGGATAAAAGCGTCTGCTAAATGGCATATATATATATATATATATATATATATATATATATATATATATATATATATATATATATAGTAATACTATAACCCTATTAGCGTGGAGCTTTGTGATTGACAGGCCCTTGAGCCAATGAGTGATTAATAGGGGCGGGTTTCAAGGAGTGACTATTTCCGGAGTCAAACACACGTGTGTAGGAAAACTGGCGTACTTTACTGTGCGAGCTCTACTAAACCGCTGTACGAGCAGGTAAATCCGATTTTACAATATTTGATGTCAGTATTTCCACATAGCATTCACGTAACTATGCATAGCTTTTCCCTGGTCAAGCATTTGTGGGCGCCTTTGACTAGTCATGTTTCTACTTAGTATGAGCTATCGTTAGCAGGCTAGCTAGTTAGTAGCTAGCCAGTTGAAGATAACATCACAACAGAGGCATGCATCTATTTACATGAAATTAAACACGTTTCCGAACCATCTGCTAGTTGGATTGAACTGGGTACCATCAATGTTGCAGCATAGCCACAGTGTGAAAATTTGTTGTTACACCGTTTCAGCAAGGAAGAGACATTCGCTATAACCAAACAGAATAATTGATCATGTCATGTTTACAAAGAAGCTACTGTAGTTACCTAATCAGCCAATCAGGCTATCATCATACTGCTAGATAATAATAGATAAATAGTCTTAAAATGTGCACTATACAATTATTTTTTACGTTACGTTGGTCGGGAGCGTATAGGATAGGAGAGGGCCAGTGCGCAAAAAAAGAGCAGTGTGTTTTTGCGTTACTGATGGATTAGTGAATCACCTACACCTGGGCTGCGTCCGGTACGAAAAACGTTGTGGAACGTTCAATTAAACTGAACCGGGGGGGTTATATGGCCAATCCAGTACCTAGCGTTCACAGAATATTTGTTTGGAACGACATGCTTTGTAAAAAAAAAAAGTATCATAAAATAAAAAAGGATTCCTATTATTGACTAAAAGTGACTTGTTTACATCCGTAGGTCCATCAGGAATTCTCTTTGGGTTGCTTTGAGGTACCATACACCCCATCTACTAACTGCTGACATCCGAGCACCAGGTATCTGCCAGATACACAGCTTTTTCTTTAAGGCCCCTATCTGCAATCTGTAAGTCAAGTGTTCACCACAACTCTCCCATAATATTCAAGGAGAAGTTCACTTTATTTGAACCAAATCTGTCTTTTGGATTAAATGGCATGTTATAGAAGTGCCCAGATACTTTTTTGGAAATCTCACTTGTTTTTGAGAAATGTACACCACCAGCGGCAGGGGCACAGATAACGTGAACCAAGGCTCCAAAAACACCCAAATACGTCCTCTTACAAACGGCAATGCTCTCAGTATAGTGATGCAGGTCTTTAGATGTTGTACAGATTAAATTGTGTTATTCCTAACTAGTGTTGCACAGTATACTGTAACTTTGGTGCTTTTTGGATATGAAAAACGGTTCGGTACTAGAATTTTTGTTACTTTCGGTACTTCTGTCAAATCAATCAAGCAATCCAATTAATTTATAAAGCCCCTTTTACATCAGCAGATGTCACAAAGTGCTATACAGAAACCCAGCCTAAAACCCCAAACAGCAAGCAATGCAGATGTAGAAGCACGGTGGCTAGGAAAAACTCCCTAGAAAGGAAGAAACCTAGAGAGGAACCAGGCTCTGAGGGGTGGCCAGTCCCCTTCTGGCTGTGCCGGGTGGAGATTATAACAGTACATGGCCATTAAGGCCAGATTTTTCTCCAAGATGTTCAAACGTTCATAGATGACCAGCAGGGTCAAATAATAATCACAGTGGTTGTAGAGGTTGCAACAGGTCTATACATCAGGAGTAAATGTCACTTGGCTTTTCATAGCCGGGCATTTAGAGGTTGAAATAGCAGGTGCGGTAGAGCGAGAGAGTTGAAAACAGCAGGTCTGGGACAAGGCAGCACATCCGGTGAACAGGTCAGGGTTCCATAGCCGCAGGTAGAAGAGTGGAAACTGGAGCAGCAGCACGACCAGGCGGTAACACCAGATATAACAGACTGACCCTAGCCCCCTGGCACATAGACTATTGCAGCATAGATACTGGAGGCTGAGACGGGTTGTCTATCAGTGCAGCCGACCCCTTATTATAGCGTGCACCGTGCCTGCTCCACTTACTCATTACTAGCCTGCACTGGGAGTCCGGGCTGCATCATGTTAGCTCCCCACTCATGCTGCACAGAAGGTAACACACTTGAATAATGCGACACCGCATGTAGAAATGTTGAAGCTGTTAATTACTGTTTGCAAAACAATGTCCACACAGGCAGGAACACTTCACAATGCAAGAAGATAGAGGTGGTTTCCAGCTATAATAGGCTAGCTGTCCTTGCTAGCTGACAGCTAAAGCTGATATTAATTCACTACCCTAGTACTTTGTTTGTAAAAATATGCAAACCATAACGCTAAATATGCTGATTTCAAAGCTGATTGCCACCGTAAACTTTATTCATTCAATTATTTGGTCTCTCTCTCACATCTCTCCCAAAGATGATCCATTGCAGGGATTGGCAACTCCAGTCCTTGGGGGCCGGAGTGGTGTCGCTCTTTTTCCCCATCCCTAGCAAACACAGCTGATTAAACAAATTGCGCTCTAAACTGAAAATCATGATTACCGTAATTTTCGGACTATAAGCCGCGCCTTTTTCCCAATTTTTCGACCCTGCGGCTTATATAACGGTGCGGCTAATCTATGGATTTTTACAGCTAACGGCCACTAGAAGACCTCCTAAATCTATGGATTTTACAGGTTACAGTCCACCAACTTTAACTCTATGGGCTCTATGACCGGTCCGCGCCCCCCACCTTTAAGTGGCGGGCTCCAGCAGGAAAAGCTGGAGGCCGGAAAAGAGTGAGACAGGTAGCGCGTAAAAGTGGAACCGAGAGTGGTACGAGAGACAGAACGAGAGCAAGACAGACAGACATTACGAGAGCGAGTCAGTTTGTCTCTTTCCCGACAATCCCCTCTGTGCACGAACCCTTACATATGGTAATTAAACATTAAAACACCTGCGGCTTATAGTCCAGTGCGGCTTATATATGTACACATCATTCAATATCATTCAATTGAGCTGCTGCGGCTTATACTCCGGTGCGCCTTATAGTGCGGAAAATACGGTAGTTGATTATTGGAGTCAGGTGAGTTAGCTGGGGCAAAAGTGTGATATTTACATTTTAGTCATTTGCAGACGCTCTTATCCAGAGCGACTTACAGTTAGTGAGTGCATACTTTTTTTTCTTCAAAAGTGTGATACCAATCAGGCCCCCGAGGACTGGAGTTGATCTATTGCAGGGATAGGCAACTCCAGTCCTCGGTGGGCCTGATTGGTGTCAATCAATAGAGATTTATCATTTAAAAAATGATCTCCATTACATTGTTATGCAGTTAGATTTGTAAAAACAAAGTCAAATTGATTGTATAATTGATTCATTAATGCATGCAATGCTGTCTCAGAAAAATGTCTACATATTTTTTTTTGAATGTAGTGATATTGAACTCAAAAGATGCCCAACGATTGAACAGAGCAGTAGTGGGATCGTTTTGGTATTGTTTTGATATAGAGTATCGTCATGGTATCGAGTATTATTGAAGTCAAAATTCTGGTATTGTGACAACACTATTCTGAACTTTATCCGCAACTTTATATTCCATTTTGTGCGAATCAAGCAGGTTCCCCTATCCAGCTGTGCTGCTTCTCCGTGTAGCCTGCACATACACACACGTAGAAGGATTGTGGGCTACACTGAGAAGTATCGCTGGAGATGCACAAAATTGAATTTAACGTTGAGGATAAAGTTCGTAATGACACAGTGAGTGTTGCCGTTTCTAAAATGACGACATATTTTGGGAGCCTTTGTTCATGTTTTATCTGTGCCCCTGTAACTGCTGAACGACCATGAGGAAGTATCTCGCTGGTGGGGTAAGTTTCTCAAAAACAAGTGAGATTGCAAAGAAAGTGTCTGGGCACTTCTATAACATGCCATTGACATCCAAAATACATTTACATTTACATTTTAGTCATTTAGCAGACGCTCTTATCCAGAGCGACTTACAGGAGCAATTAGGGTTAAGTGCCTTGCTTAAGGGCACATCGACAGATTTTTCACCTAGTCGGCTCGGGGATTAGAACCAGCGACCTTTCGGTTACTGGCACAACGCTCTTACCCACTAAGCTACCTGCCGCCCTAAAATACAGATTTGGTTCAAATAAAGTTAATGTCTCCTTTAATTCTACAAGAGTAGTGGTTAGTAGCAGTGGTGTGGATGTTGACCAATTCACTCAGCATGTCATTGGCCCTCCTGTAGCTCAGTTGGTAGAGCATGGTGCTTGCAACGCAAGGGTTGTGGGTTCGATTCCCACGGGGGCCAGTATGAAAAATGTATGCACTCACTAATTGTAAGTCGCTCTGGATAAGAGCGTCTGCTAAATTACTAAAATGTCATTGTTATCTTCTCTTGCCCCTCAGCTTTGTCCCTATGGCCGATGCAGAGCCCATGCTGGTCCCTGTCCCTGGGGGGGAGAAGAGAGTATGCCCTGCATTGGAGGAGGTGGACCACAGCACCAAGAGACCCAGAGTCCAGAAGGATGAGAAGAACGGAGGGCCCTCTCACAAGCTGCCCCAGGATGAGGGAGAAGAGCCAGAGGGGGAGGAGACGGAGCCATTGGAAGAGGAGGGTGGAGAAGGGGAAGGGTTGGGGTCAGGAGAGGCCTTTGCAGAGATGATGAAGCATGGCCTCACAGAGCTGGACGTGGGGATTCTGAAGTTTGTCAGTGAGCACAAGGGGTTCTCAGGCATTCTCAAGGAGAGGTTAGTCCTGACCCCGGTCCTCCTGAAGAGTGATTTGAACATGGCGTATGTGTGTGTTGCTATGTGCGTTTCGCTATGACTGAGATCATCTCTTGCTCTGTCTTTGTTAAGGTACTCTGACTTTGTGGTGCACGAGATCAACAAAGAAGGCAAGACAGTGCGGTTGGATGATCTCTCCGTTCCTGAGGAGGCTGAGGTGAACTAACAATGAATCAGTAGACATTTCTTTAGTCTTGCAGTTTAGAGGGAAATATAATCACTAAGTCATTGCTGAAGTTAAACTCTGATGTTGGACTTGTCTTGCAATAGGAGGCCCTGGTAGAGCAGCCAGATTCCCAGTTTTTCACAGAGGAGCAGAAACAACAGCTGGAGCAGCTACAACTCTTCAAGAACAAAGAGGGAAATGTCTCTATAGAGGTGAATACATGCACCGTTTCTACCAAAACCACTGATAGTTTCTTTTCATTGTATCTTCACATTGTATCATTCTAGTTAAGAGGCTATGTTTACATTCGACCACAGTCCTTAAAGGCAAACTTTAGAGATAAATTAAGTTTTGATTACACACACATGCACACAGGTAGCTGATGACACAAAAGAGAAGCGGACGCTGGTCCACAAGGCTGTCAAGACCCTGTACCCTGGACTGGAGACCAAGACAGAGGAGCGTGAGGGAAAGAAGTTCATCGTGGCCTACCACGCAGCCGGGCAGAAAGCCCTCGCAGGTACAGGAGAGAGGAGAGAATAGGAGATGGGTGTAGTGGACATTTTCTGGGTTATCTCTGGTTTATTTCCTATTGCAGGGTGAAATCTCTAACATCTATCATAGAACAGAATGAAGTCGCTTTCAAGTTCGTCTCTTACTTCAAGAAAGAGTTTACATTTCAGAATGGGAAAAGTTATCATTGAATGGTTGGAAAAGGGTTGTGCTGCATGCCCTTGTTCAGCTTGGCCTCATGTCTCTCATTGCATGTGGTTCTCTCCAAGCTGGGTAGCTATGGGATTATATGTATGGTGCATGAATGAACAGGTGCATGTGCGAGGTCAACACAACACACCTGCATGATGATGCTGAATAAAGATCCTGACCAGGCCCATGGACTGTGAGGGATCACATGGATCTTGATTCTATCCAGGTGTCTGTGAACTTTTAGACCTTAGAAGTCTCTCCAACAAATCAGCAGTCTCTCTTGACCTGGACTGGCATATTTTGCCTCTGAATCAATTCCCCAGGCTTGTTAAGATCAGTTAAGACATTGCCATTTTTCACATGAATAATTTCCTGTAAATTTAGTGGCCTATACAAAAAGAGCACAACATGGTAGTCATCAAATAATGGGTGCTCTGTCATAGCCATGGCACACTCCTGCTACACAGAAAGGTTTAGACACAACGGCACTCCAACCCTGCATGCTGACCTCGCCACCCCTGCCGGTCTGTCTGTCTAACGGTCCATGACCGTCTTTTAGTAACATTCTTTTATCATTTATATCCTATTCCTTTTGCTCTTCTCTGGGTGGACAGAGGTCAAAGCAGCTGCAGGTAAGACTTTCTCGTCCACTCTGCTCAGGTTTCAGGAGACCTCAGTCCGTAAAACAAGTTGGATTAAATGTTGGTAAACTCACAACTGATTTAAATGTCAGCTCATTGTCTGGCATGGCGTCATCAGTCTTGTGGGACTTGCTGGAGTTTACCAAACCGACTTCTGTGTTTGAACAGGTGTTGTCTGGGAGTTTTCTCTGAGATGTTGGTAGTTAGAAAAGTCTTGGGCGGGCCACCTAAGTGTTTTTGTTTTGGGTCGCCTATGTCCAAACAGAATTTAAAAGTGTACAGATATAAAGTATGTAGAACATATAATGGACATATATTTTTTGAGAACTAACTATCACCAAAATAAAAGCTGGACAGTCAGGGAGAATCGAAAATTCCCAAAATGATGCATTCTATAGTATTTTTGTCATGGCATGAGGCCCCCATTGATTTTGTTATGTTTGAGTCACTTGGATAGCACAAGCAATGGTAAGATGTGTAGAATTGCAGGAAATTCACTTTAAAACTGCAAATGTTTCTCTCTGCCTTATGGTAAAATGTGTAGAATTGCAGGAAATTAGCTTTAAAACAGCTACATTTAGTCACTGTGGCTGACAGGAGGGCCTCTAAAATGTTTGGTCAGCGAGCGCACCATTGGCCACGCCCCGCCACGCCCACCACTTAAGCCCCATTTGATCCTGAAAAAAAAGCTGCACAAGTAATAATAATAATATGCCATTTAGCAGACTCTTTTATCCAAAGCGACTTACAGTCATGTGTGCATACATTTTTACGTATGGGTGGTCCCGGGGATTGAACCCACTACCCTGGCGTTACAAGCGCCATGCACTACCAATTGAGCTACAGAGAACCACTCTGATTATCCTGCTTGTTCAATATGGCTACTATTTTCAGTCTGGTAAATAGTCATTACTCATTTCAGGGTGTAGGCTAAGGAAGAAGAACCTCAGTTTAGAGCAATGGGGATTGAGTGTTTTGAGTACAGCATTTAAATTACTGAGGCGTCCGTCTTGGGACATATATGCAGAATGCTCCTGGCATAAAACAGTTGTTAAAGAAGTGGTTGCTGCTGTCCGTGTTGGGGCCCTTAACAGAGCTGCCTCCGCACAAAAGAATAAAGGAGCCAGATAGTAGTTTGAAAAGCATATCAAAGCCCTGAATACTGATGAGGGTGTATTCTCTGACAGATGCGGTCTGTCTGATACTCTGCCTTTATCGCCACAACTCACTCCTGTCCTCCTGTCTCCCTGGACAGCCCCCAGGAAACACTCCTGGCCTAAGAGCCGTGGGGCCTTCTGCCACTTCGTCCTCTACAAGGAGAACAGAGATACCATGGAAGCCATCAACGTGCTCTCCAAGTTCCTCAGGTAAAACACACACAGTTTCTCATAGCATTTTTCCAACAATATGTAAGCAAAATGTCTACTAAACTGTACAACTCCTGACTGTGTGTCTGCTGTTTCCCAGGATGAGGCCCAATGTGTTCTCCTACATGGGGACCAAGGACAAGAGAGCCATCACTGTGCAGGAGATTGCAGTTCTCAAGTGAGTGTGTTGGCTTGCTACTATCAGCGAATACTTGTAATTACGTACTTATTACTTAACCTATGTTCTCTGTCCCTTCAGGGTCACAGCAGAAAGGCTGTCTCACCTCAACAAGTGCCTCAATAACTTCAAACTGGGAAACTTCTGCTACAAGAAACACCCTCTGAAACTGGGAGAACTACAGGGCAATCACTTCACTGTGGTCATCAGGTCAGTGGATACTAGCTGCGCGTGTCGATGTGTGTAATCTCTTTGCTTTAACTTATTCTTTGTAACTCAAACTACTCTCCAATCCTGATTTATTCATTTAACAATTAAAATAGCTCAACAACATTTAATCTGATCTACGTGTTGCTATTTGTTCCTGGCTGGTTACCTCCCACACAGGAACATCACAGGGACAGAGGAGCAGGTCCAACAGGCCATGACCTCCCTTAGAGAGACAGGCTTCATCAACTACTATGGCATGCAGCGCTTTGGCACCACCGCCGTGCCCACACACCAAGTTGGCAAGTAAGGACATGGACTCACACACACTTGGGTATGGGGTCGGCAGGTAAAAACATGACCCCCTTGGTGCATAGGGTAACTGGCCCATGGGTATGGGGTTGGCAGGGGATAGATGATTGACTGTTGTTGTGTCCCTCTGTTTGGACCAGGGCCATCTTGCAAGGCAACTGGAATGAAGTGATAGATCTGATCCTAAAGCCTCGCCCTGGAGGTAAAACATTTACTGGCTTTCATTTGTCTTTATATCGAATACATGTCCGCTACCAAATGGACAAATCTAAAATGGATAACATTGTTGCAAGAGCACGTGTTAAACTGTTTCTGCCATGGCGTTGCCTTTGTGACAACTGCAGATGTAAAAAGGATGTTTAATAGAATATGATTTATTGATTTACTGCTCTCTCTCTCTCTCTCTCTGTCAAGCGGAGAAAGGTTACCTGGTGAAGTGCCGTGAGGAGTGGGCCCAGTCCCAGGACCCAGAAGCAGCACTGAAGAAGCTGCCTGTTAAACGCTGTGTGGAGGGACAGCTGCTCCGAGGTCTCTCCATGTACGGCAGGAAGAACATCATCACTGCCTTTGCAATGGTGAGCTGAGCACGCTTTTACTCATACAAACTACCTGGCAGATGCACTATTATAACTGGTCAGGAAGTAATGGGTGTACTCACGCACACTTGCCAAATGCCAATGTCAAACATTCTTTATTTATCCCTAATTGGTTCCAATGGACTGTTATTAAATGTTGTTAAAGGTGAGAAACAAAGATAGCCACCCGGGTCCACTGTTGATTTGTTTGACTCATTAAAGCTGCAGTATGTAACTTTTTGGGTGACGCGACCAAAATCACATAGAAATATGCGTTATAGATCTGTCATTCTCATTGAAAGCAAGTTTAATTAGTGGTACATTTGTTCTATGTGCGCAATTTTTATGCTTCCTGTTCTTATGTTTTGTTTTTGCTTATATTACTTCCTGTTTTGTACACCAGCTGAAAATACAATATTTTTGGTTATGGAAAATATATTTCACAGTGGTTTAGATGGTACAATGATTCTCTACACTATACTTGCTTGTTTTGTCACAAACTGAAATTAGGCGAACTATTCTAATTTTAGCAACCAGGAAATGTTGGAGCGATTTCTGGTTAGTGCACCTTTTTTAAAAGTATGTTTTCCTCTGGTTTATTATAGCTGAGGTAACTCCCTGTGTTGGCCCTCCTTTTGTCTTCTAGATCCCTCGTAACAACCGGCTGATGTACATCCACAGCTACCAGAGCTTTATGTGGAACACCATGGTCAGCAGACGCATTGAGGCCTTCGGACTGAAGGCTGTGGAGGGAGACCTCGTGCTTAGGGCAGGTGGGTCATATCTGTTCATGTTTTGTGGGTGTATCTCTGATTCACCACTCAACACCGACGCATTTGGCGATACGCGTGGCTGAAATTCTTGAATAAATGTTCTGTAGAGAAGTGATTGAGCACACAGCCCAGAGTGCCTGTCTCACAGACGGCTCTAAAGTGTGATACTCCATATCTAACAGAGCGCTTTACACCACCTGCTAGACTGGGCTGAGTTAATGTGCTCATTCTATGTAGGGTCTCAAACCAAGTGATGTAGACATCCTCCTATTCACCCTCTTATCTCCAGGCACTGCATTCGTGCTGTCCGCAGCCGAGGCCGAGACCCACTCTATCCAAGACGTGGTGATGCCCCTACCAGGGTTTGACGTCATCTACCCCACTCACCATGGTAAGAGAGCCCTGCATCCTCCCACCATGTCAGGGCAAAGTCCCCTCACCACCGCCATTCTCATCCTGTTGTCTTGGGTGTTACAACCAGAGGTGAAGAAGAAAAACGATATCTCTGGAGTATTCTATTCTGTTTTACAATTCTATTCAGATATGTGGTTGAGATCTGTGGGTGAGGTGTGTGTTTCAGATTTTATTGTGTCTTTTTCCTCCTGTTCTGTAACAGTGGGTAAGGGCTACAGGGAGATGCTGAGTGCAGATAACCTGGACATTGACAACATGAGGCACAGGGTGAGGGACTACTCTCTGGCCGGGGCCTACCGACGTATCCTCATCAAACCCAGTGACGTCAGCTGGTCTGTAACACTCGCTATCACCTCAGTATCAATTAATACAAATATTTTCAGTCATGGCTAGCTATAGCAAAAAGCTAACTAATAGTATTGGAGGAGTTGTCGTTACATATTCTAAATACATAAAAAGGAGCTGAGGATTGCTTCCTTTTTTCCTTGCGCATGATAATGTGATTGCCTTGTATAATATTTCCTCATCTACATTCCTGAGTTGTATTTCTTGTATCATCTCTCCTTCTATAGGGAGGTGATTAACTATGAGGACCCTCGTGTCTCCCTGGTCCACACTGATGTGGAGAAACTAGAGGACCAACCTCCCCCAGTCTTCAACAAAGGTCTGTTCTAGTTTCATCATGTTGCTGTGCATTAATCAATCTGTGGTACTTTTCCACTCACCTTAATAGTGTGTTTCTCCTAACTCTTTTTCTCCCTCCCTCCCTCCTCATCTCTCCTCCACCCACCAGAGGGGAAGTACAGGGCTCTGAGGATGGAGTTCTCCCTGCCTCCCTCTACCTACGCCACCATGGCCATCAGAGAGGTGCTCAAGATGGACACCAGCATCAAGAACCAGACTCAGCTCAACACCACCTGGCTCAACTAATACAACACAACAGAACTGGGCCCACTGGGCTGCTTTTCCAGGCTGCAGAGCAGTCTGTCCTTTAGTGGGTATCTACTTACTGTATGTGAGACTAACAGTCTATATTGTGTGTGGGGGAGTGTTTTGATACTTTGCCAAGCCAAAGGTCATTCCTCTCAAGGTGTGTCAGTCAGGGTGATAGGAAATATTACCTCATCCTACACAACCAAGAGCAACAACTCTGATATTATATTGTTACTACTCTGATTATTTTCTTAAGTTTCTTCATTTTTTATCAGGAAGTTTTTACTGTCTTTTAAAGCTTTGCTGCACTGGAGAAATTCAGAGATATGTTTTTGAAACAGCTGATGTGCTACAGAAGCACTTAAAGGGGCTGTGTAGAAAAGTTTGTGTTAACCAATGGTGGTGCTCTGTGACGCCCCTGCTATTTCCCAGGGTACTACAATGACCTGACCCTGGTTGTACAGAATTACTGTTTGCTTTTTTAACTCTAAAATGTTTTGTTTTTTTAACAAGCTCTCTTACAGAGAGAGAATTAAAATGTTGAGTGAAAATGCTTTTTGTGATGTATCATTCGTGGTCTTGCACCAGATCTATCATTCTGCTCCAACCTGTGCCACTATTAGGGTATCATCTTGAACTTTGTAACATTGCCTATGGTAACTATTCAGCCCAAGAATATCAACCCTACAATTCCATTGTCAAAATAATGGGTGGCTTTTCTGGAGCATTTACTGTCATAAATCCAATGTTGCTTGACCAAAACACGTATTATATTCAATATACATTGACATTTATATAGTACAGTGTTGTAGCACAATACTTATGGGGCGGTGGGGACTCTATTTCTGGTTGATGGCAGTAGAGATGAATCCTGGCAATGACCGATCAGTGCTCTGTTTAAGGCTCCAGTCAGCACTGAAACACAGTGCCCCATTGCTGCTGGTCATGGCAGGTGCTGTGGAGCTGACCATCTGGCAGGGAGGCTGATGACAGCTGGCTGTAGTCGCTGAATTCATCGCCTGGCTCCAATCTAATGTGTTTGACTGGATCCGGTCACCAGCCAGTCACCCTGGGATACTGAGGAGGATCTCATAGGGTTTTACAATATTTTCTCTTATGTCATGCTCTGAAATAAAATCTGGTTAAGAAAGCACTTCAGATTTCATCATATTTGAATCACTGTTAGGTGATATGGTACAGTCACACTGGCATGTTATTTTCTAGCAGGACTGGTGTCATCTTATGAGTGACCATCAATTGTATATTTCTTTCTCAAGCCCTAAAACATTATACCAACTCATACCACAAGGGGGTGAATTTACAAAGACATAAAACCTGCATTTTTACAGAATATTTTATTTTGAGTGAGCTCAACAAATGTACATCACCTTAAAAAGTAATTTTCCAAATCCACCTGTGTTATTAATACTTAAAAACAATGAAATTCAAAATGTGTAAATGTACACGTTAAGACCAATCAAATATGTCCTGTGGTTAGCGACTTTGTCGCTATATTTAGCGATTATTCATACCCCTTTAGCGACTTTTTCTGGTGTTATTGGAGACTTTTGGAGGGCCCCACCCCCGTCCCAAAGCAATCACAGGCTGCCCAGTCCTCGCGCAGCAGTCCCTCCCAGCTGCAGTCAGAGCAGGAGACATTCACCAATCCGCGTCCAGACTGCAAATGAATCGCGCATGCAGGAAGCTGCCGCTGGCTGATCCCGCCCCTACATTCAGGGCGGGATGTAAATGCTGGGTGATTTTTTACTCACTTTTTGTCTCTCCCACGACGTTATTCCTATATTCCGTCAATTTAGCTTGAAAGTTGTGATCCCTTTCTTCTAGCATTGAAGTCGCGACTACTTTGTTGAAAGATGTCGTCTGGAACCGCTTTGCTTTATGACGAGGAGATGACCCGCTACAAACTGTTATGGGTTGAGTACGTCTGCTTCCTGATTGTGCATTATGTTGTTCAACCACTGATAACTATCGTTCTATGATGTGTACGTATGAGTGAGCGAGCCAAATCAAAATCAAATCACATTTTATCGGTCGCATACACATATTTAGCAGATGTTATTGCGGGTGTAGCGAAATGCTTGTGTTCCTAGCTCCAACATTGCAGTAATGTCTAACAATACACACTAATCTAAAAGTAAAATAATGGAATTTAGAAATATTAGGACGAGCATGTGTAGGGTGAGTGTACGTGTTCATAAGTGTTTGAGTGCACACTGTTAGCTGGGTCATTCCTGTTATGCGGTGCCTTTTCTGTCCCCAGGGAAGAACACCTCTTATTTAGTGTAAAATGTGGATTCCAAAATATAAAGTTAGGTGTTCTTTACCATAAAAACACAAAGATATGGATCTCAAGGGGAATTTTATGAATCTTTACAATTTTGTTTTCAGTGGATGTAGGCGTTTTTGCCATGTCCCTGATTTCACTTTCCACGCTGTTAGTTTGTAGTAAATCAGCCCCTTCCCATAATGACATCACATTCAGGAAGTGAATGGCGGGAAAACAGCAGTGCTAAGTATCAACACTCGGTTTTATCTATATTTTAATGTTTCATGATGTTGGTCAGTATGTCTCACTCTTACATTTCCACCCTATTAGGGTACATTAGATGAACATGTTATACAATTTTAGAATTTAAAAATATGTTTGACAAAAAAGTTAACATTCTCTTCAACTGTTTACCATTTATGTTAGCGATATCTTGATCACTGACGGTGGCAGGCTAATTTAGCCTCCACATTTCCACCCTGTTAGGTTCCACCCTGTTAGGCATATGCACCTAACATGGTGGAACATGTACCTAATAGGGTGAACATTTTGTCAGAAAATAAATTACTTGTGGCAATATTTATTACCATTTACATAATACAATACATTTATATTTTACGTATATTTAGCCTTTACAGCCATGGGCTTTTATCCCCCAAAAACTGCAGTGAAAGGCACAATGAAGATGCATCAAGTGATAAGTGTGTTGCCAGGTCACATCAAGTACAGAGACATAACCTGTCTCTGCCAAATAGATGAGGGGGTCATGGACTGTCCCTGCTTTGAGTTAAAATAAGCAACTAGAAGCTGCTGAGGCTTCAAGATCAACCTAGAAGCTGCTGAGGCTCCAAGATCAACTCTAGAAGCTGTTGAGGCGCCAAGATCTGTGTGCACCATTGAAATCCTGTGGCGACCAGAGGCCATTCACTCTCAACATATTGGTCAGTGGTGTGTGGTGTCCTATGACAATGAGCCATACCCAGGAATCATAACATATGTGGAGGAGGATAACATCCAGGTCAAGTGCATGCACCGTAATGGAATAAACAAATTATTCTGGCCAAGCCCACGCGATGACATCAGCTGGTACGCTGACCACCAGGTAGTATGCCTGATCCCCGAGCTTGGGGTTACATAAAAGGTACATAAAAGACCACTTTGGAAACCATTGAGCTACAACTGGAGAAAGGGGACTTGCAGTATGTGGACGGGGGGCTGGAGAGGAGTGGAGAAAAGGGTTGAGTTGGAAGGGTTTTAGAAGGGAGTGAAGTGGAGGAGAGAGAGAGGAAAGAAGGGGAGGGGGGGCACTTTTTAAACGTTCATGTATCCTTATACAGTTGAAGTCGGAAGTTTACATACATCTTAGCCAAATACATTTAAACTCAGTTTTTCACAATTCCTGACATTTAATCCTAGTAAAAATTCCCTGCCTTAGGTCAGTTAGGATCACCACTTTATTTTAAGAATGTGAAATGTCAGAATAACAGTAGAGAGAATTATTTCTTTCAGCTTGTATTTCTTTCATCACATTCCCAGTGGGTCAGAAGTTTACATACACTCAATTAGTATTTGGTAGCATTGCCTTTAAATTGTTTAACTTGGGTCAAACGTTTCGGGTAGCCTTCCACAAGCTTCCCACAATAAGTTGGGTGAATTTTGGCCCATTCCTCCTGACAGAGCTGGTGTAACTGAGTCAGGTTTGTAGGCATCCTTGCTCGCACACACTTTTTCAGTTCTGCCCACACATTTTCTATAGGATTGAGGTCAGGGCTTTGTGATGGCCACTCCAATACCTTGACTTTGTTGTCATTAAGCCATTTTGCCACAACTTTGGAGGTATGCTTGGGGTCATTGCCCATTTGGAAGACCCATTTGTGACCAAGCTTTAACTTCCTGACTGATGTTGCTTCAATATATCCACATCATTTTCCTTCCTCATGATGCCATCTATTTTGTGAAGTGCACCAGTCCTTCCTGCAGCAAAGCACCCCCACAGCATGATGCTGCCACCCCCGTGCTTCACGGTTGGGATGGTGTTCTTCATCTTGCAAGCCACCCCCTTTTTCCTCCAAACAAAACGATGGTCATTATGGCCAAACAGTTCTATTTTTGTTTCATCAGACCAGAGGACATTTCTCCAAAAAGTACGATCTTTGTCCCCATGTGCAGTTGCAAACCGTAGTCTGGCTTTTTTATGGTGGCTTCTTCCTTGCTGAGCGGCCTTTCAGGTTATGTCGATATACAGTGGGGAGAACAAGTATTTGATACACTGACGATTTTGCAGGTTTTCCTACTTACAAAGCATGTAGAGGTCTGTACTTTTAATCATAGGTACACTTCAACTGTGAGAGACGGAATCTAAAAAAATCCAGAAAATCACATTGTATGATTTTTATGTAATTAATTTGCATTTTATTGCATGACATAAGTATTTGATCACCTACCAACCATTAAGAATTCCAGCTCTCACAGACCTGTTAGTTTTTCTTTAAGAAGCACTCCTGTTCTCCACTCATTACCTGTATTAACTGCACCTGTTTGAACTCGTTACCTGTATAAAAGACACCTGTCCACACACTCAATCAAACAGACTCCAACCTCTCCACAATGGCCAAGACCAGAGAGCTGTGTAAGGACATCAGGGATAAAATTGTAGACCTGCACAAGGCTGGGATGGGCTACAGGACAATAGGCAAGCAGCTTGGTGAGACGGCAACAACTGTTGGCGCAATTATTAGAAAATGGAAGAAGTTCAAGATGACGGTCAATCAACCTCGGTCTGGGGCTCCATGCAAGATCTCACCTCGTGGGGCATCAATGATCATGAGGAAGGTGAGGGATCAGCCCCCAACTACACAGCAGGACCTGGTCAATGACCTGAAGAGAGCTGGGACCACAGTCTCAAAGAAAACCATTAGTAACACACTACGCCGTCATGGATTAAAATCCTGCAGCGCACGCAAGGTCCCCCTGCTCAAGCCAGCGCATGTCCAGGCCCATCTGAAGTTTGCCAATGACCATCTGGATGATCCAGAGGAGGAATGGGAGAAGGTCATGTGGTCTGATGAGACAAAAATATAGCTTTCTGGTCTAAACTCCACTCGCCGTGTTTGGAGGAAGAAGAAGGATGAGTACAACCCCAAGAACACCATCCCAACCATGAAGCATGGAGGTGGAAACATCATTCTTTGGGGATGCTTTTCTGCAAAGGGGACAGGACGACTGCACCGTATTGAGGGGAGGATGGATGGGGCTATGTATCGCAAGATCTTGGCCAACAACCTCCTTCCCTCAGTAAGAGCATTGAAGATGGGTCGTGGCTGGGTCTTCCAGCATGACAAGACCCAAAACACACAGCCAGGGCAACTAAGGAGTGGCTCCGTAAGAAGCATCTCAAGGTCCTGGAGTGGCCTAGCCAGTCTCCAGACCTGAACCCAATAGAAAATCTTTGGAGGGAGCTGAAAGTCCGTATTGCCCAGCGACAGCCCCGAAACCTGAAGGATCTGAAGAAGGTCTGTATGGAGGAGTGGGCCAAAATCCCTGCTGCAGTGTGTGCAAACCTGGTCAAGACCTACAGGAAACTGATGATCTCTGTAATTGCAAACAAAGGTTTCTGTACCAAATATTACGTTTTGCTTTTCTGATGTATCAAATACTTATGCCATGCAATAAAATGCAAATTAATTACTTAAAAATCATACAATGTGATTTTCTGGATCTCACAGTTGAAGTGTACCTATGATAAAAATTACAGACCTCTATATGCTTTGTAAGTAGGAAAACCTGCAAAATCGGCAGTGTCTCAAATACTTGTTCTCCCCACTGTAGGACTCGTTTTACTGTGGATATAGATACTTTTGTACCTGTTTCCTCCAGCATCTTCACAAGGTCCTTTGCTGTTGTTCTGGGATTGATTTGCACTTTTCGCACCAAAGTACGTTCATCTCTAGGAGACAGAACGCGTCTCCTTCCTGAGCGGTATGACGGCTGCGTGGTCCCATGGTGTTTATACTTGCGTACTATTGTTTGTACAGATGAACCAGAATTGAGGTCTTCGCTGATTTCTTTTGATTTTCCCATGATGTCAAGCAAAGAAGCACTGAGTTTGAAGGTAGGCCTTGAAATACATCCACAGGTACACCTCCAATTGACTCAAATGATGTCAATTAGCCTATCAGAAGCTTCTAAAGCCATGACATCATTTTCTGGAATTTTCCAAGCTGTTTAAAGGCACAGTCAACTTAGTATATGTAAACTTCTCACCACTGGAATTGTGATACAGTGAATTATAAGTGAAATTATCTGTCTGTAAACAATTGTTGGAAAAATTACTTCTGTCATGCACAAAGTAGATGTCCTAATCGACAAGAAATGTGTGGAGTGTTTGAAAAAACGAGTTTTAATGACTCCAACCTAAGTGTATGTAAACTTCCGACTTCAACTGTATATATGACATATTTTACAAATGCTGAGTAACCATTTTATTAAGCCAAGAGTTGTTAGGAGCAAAATGAGTAGGGCTGTTTATCATAAAATGCCTGATTAGTGTTTTTTAACTTGAACAAACAGGTGATTTTCAAATACAATCCAATTGTTTTACATCTAGCTATGTTGTTCTAATGCAATACTCGTGTTTTTATGTTGTTTTACAAACTTAGGTTGACAATGTTTTTAAAAAGACAAAGTAAATAGAAAATGTATTAAATAGAAAGTGGTTATAATTATAAATGTAATGTTTGTTTTTTTACCATTTCACTGGATAAGAGCGTCTGCTAAATTATGTAAATGTAAATTTAAAAGTTCATAAAAATATTTAATTATTTAAATATTCTGTTCATTATTGGTGTTAGTTACACCCTGTTATTGCTTTACATCCTGTTATGCTTTATTCCACCCTGTTAGGTTAGTGTTTTAAAATCATAATTGAACAATACCATCAAATGTTATGTATGTCTTTGTGGTAACTTGTAGAGATAGAAGGGGTCAACTACATATGCAAAAATCTTGACCAAATTCTTATTAGGAAAAATGTGGCGCAAATGAAGCGCGGGTTCCGAAAATAAAAGACGTTTGGGTCAATAACCTTTGATGTATAATTATTTGAAGAAAATAAAGAAACGTAATAGAGCAAAGGACATTTGATGTTTTAGAAAATGTAAGGCTGTAACATAACAAAATGTGGAAAAAGTCAAGGGGTCTGAATACTTTCGAAGGCACTTTACATGCATTGTTTCAGATAGTTATGTGTATGTCCCTAACAGGGTGGAAGTATCCCATGGTGCATGTGTGAAGAATATGCCTATATTTATTAGGATTTGAATACCTGAGCTTGACCAATATGTTTTTCTGAAAGTCAAACATGTCCTTTTTCTGATAGTTTTTTTCACAGAAGTCACGACATAGCAGGAATGACCCAGCTAATTGTTTGTCTTACTTTTTTTCTTTTGCATGTCCTCTCTTCAGCCCGGCATGTAAGATCGAGGTCCCTGAGCGTCTGACTGTGAGTCACACAGCTCTGCAGAAGGAGGGTCTGGCTGATCGCTGTGTCTCTGTGCCTGTACGCCAGGCCACCGACGCAGAGATCCTACTGGCTCACAGGTGAGTCTATCCACACACACACACACACACACACACACACACACACACACACAAACACACACACATCCACTGCTCTATGTCGTACCTACAGTGAGGAGTACCTGGAGGCAGTAAAGAAGACACCTCACATGAGCCTGGATGAGCTGAGGAACTTCACCCAGCAGTATGGGGATGTCTACTTCCACCCGGTGAGATGACATGGACAGTCAGTCAGTCAACTAACCAACCAACTAGTCAATCAATCAACTAATCGCTGCATTGTCCCAATTGGAGAAGATATAGTGCACATAATATAGAAAAGCACAGAACGAGACCTGACTATGAGGCTGACGGAAACAGAGTTAGCATTGTGAAACCCATGTTCTCTGCTTGTGTTTTCGTCTCTAGAACATCTACCACTGTGCCAAGTTGGCCATCGGGGCCACTCTCCAGCTGGTGGACAGTGTGATGACGGGGAAAGTAAGGAACGGCATGGCCTTGGTCAGGTGAGTTTTAACCATGGAGGAACAGAGAACATATGGGTTTATCCTCAGCTGTTTTATTTACAATGCCCCTCAAGGTGTCATGGACTTCCTGTATGCACAGTTACAGTATCTGGTACTCAGGATTCATCTCCCTCCCACCTCTTTTCATCATGCCCCTCCCCCAGGCCCCCAGGACACCACAGTCAGCGCAGTGCTGCCAACGGCTTCTGTGTGTTCAACAATGTGGCCATCGCTGCCCACTATGCCAAGAAACACTACAATGTCAAGAGGTGAGCAGGGCCTGGATAGAACCCACTCTTAACTGATTCCACTGTATGCCTTTCAAAATAGAATTAGAAATAGAATAGGAGAATGTGTGTTGTTTTTCTAAGAATGTTTTTGTTTCCCCAGGGTGTTAATAGTGGACTGGGATGTGCATCACGGACAGGGGGTGCAGTTCGCTTTTGAGGATGACCCAAGGTGAGTATCTTTTCTTGATCCTAACTGGACTTTTTGTCTGGTATTCCATCCTGTCTGATCTGCAGATTGCTCTGACTGACGCCCCTCTCTTTCCCCCAGTGTGCTCTACTTCTCCTGGCACCGCTATGAGCACCAAGGCTTCTGGCCCAACCTTAGGGAATCGGACTATGACAGTGTGGGCAAGGAGAAGGGTGCTGGCTTCAACATCAACGTACCCTGGAACAAGGTGAGTCCCATAGAAGTAGAATTCTAGAAGTAATTTTATATCAAGGAGCCCTACCTACCATACAGTACTTGTTACTTTCTCCGTAGCATTATGCTTTCAGTTATCATTTGATCTCTTGACTGATTACAGGTGGGGATGGAGAACAGTGATTACCTTTCTGTCTTCTTCCATGTTCTCCTACCTATCGCATATGAGGTGAGGCATTCTCCTGGGTCAGAATCGGCAGCACTCACAAAACATGTGTGATGTTCAATCTCTCTACATATCAATCTCAAATGATGACTGAATGAAATTAATGCTCTTTCCTCCAGTTCAGCCCAGATTTGGTCTTTGTGTGTGCTGGCTTTGACTCTGCCATTGGAGACCCAGAGGTAAGGCATTCTACTTCTTAAATGAATGACAAACAAATATAGGCCTAGACACTATTGTTATGGTATTACAGTATAATCAAACGTTATTTTATGCTTGTGTCCTAGGGTCACATGTGTGCCACCCCAGACATCTTTGCCCACCTGACCCACCTCCTAAAGTCCCTGGCTGGGGGGAAACTGTGTGCTGTCCTGGAGGTGACTGTCACTCATAGACTTTTATATATTTAACAGTGTCACTCTGTTCTGAAATGAGTCACAAGAACAAAACAGGAACTGTTTCTGCTGCTGTTTTTTGTACCTCGATTCACTCTAAAAAACTATTTTAGGGAGGGTACAACTTGACCTCACTGGCCCAATCAGTGTGCCAGACCGTCCAGACCTTACTCGGAGATCCCGCCCCCCAAACATCAGAACTGAACGGCCCATGTGAGAGGTGGGTTGTCGTGTCAATCAGAGCTTTAAAAAGGCTATAAACCTAAATAGCTTGTACAGTAAGTTAAAACACTGCATTGTGTCTCTGCCTCGCTCTCTCCGTCCCTGCAGTGCTCTGGAGTCCATTCAGTGTGTGAGATCAGCTCACAAGCCGTACTGGGCCTGCCTCAAACATGCAGGTACTATATAACATCGCTCTCTGATCACTCTCAGATCTTATCACTTCATTTACAAAATATCAACCTGCATTATCCTAATAGAACTATTAATCTTATCTTTCTTCCCTCCCTCTCTTCAATTCCCTTCCAGTTGCCCCACCCGTGTCTGAGCCCAGCACTAAACGCTGTAAGCTGGTAGAGAAGGAAGAGGGTGTGCAGGCTGAGGGGGGTCAGGATGAAGAGGGTCAGGAAGAAGAGGGGGATGGTCAGAAAGAGGAGGAAGAGGAGGTGGTGTGGATGAAGCCTCCGTCCCGGTTGGCTCCTCCGGTCCACACTGAAGTGGCGCTCCCTGCTGACCTGGAGGTCCCTGACAGATGTGACCGTGTGAGATCATCACTGGCCCCAACTCTTGAGATACTGCAAAGACTCAGGTCTGTCCCTAACATGTACTGCAAAGACTCAGGTCTGTCCCTAACCTATACTCCTGAGATACTACAGAGTTTTAAGTCTGTCCCCAACAAATGTCCCCAGCTACATTCACAACCCACAGATATATTCATCCACAGTACTGTTAAAGCTGCATTATGTAACGTTTTTGGCAACCTGATCAAATTCACATGAAAATGTGTGTTTATAGATCTGTCATTCTCATTGAAAGCAAGTCTAAGAAGTGGTAGATCTGTTCTATGTGTGCTATTTCTATGCTTCCAGTTTTTGTGTCTTTTACTTTTGGTTTTGTACACCAGATGAAAATACAATATTTTTGGTTATGTTAAATATATTTTAGTGGTTTAGATGGTACAATGATTCTCTACACTATACTTGCTTGTTTTGTCACATAAACTGAAATTAGGCAAACTATTCTAATTTAATTAGCAACCAGGAAATGGCGGAGCGATTTCTGCCTAGTGCGTCTTTTAAAGTATGATCATAGTTCCTGTTTAATCAATTTGTACTTTTACTTTGATAATATGATTATAGATCATATTTATTGGACTCCAATGTTTTTGGTGAAGCTTCAGTAATATTGTCTTATTTTATAACCAGGGATAACTTTTTTGAAGGGTCGGCAGAGGAGGAAGCTCTCATGCCTCTCTGCAGCATCATCGCGCTCTTTGAAAAGATGACGAAACAAGAGGTGAGCTCACTGTTGATAGACGTGTTTAGAAGTTGAGAGTGATTTTTAATCTTACTCATCAAAAGTCGTTTGCATTGTGAACCATTACGTACATCAAATTATAGACTGATCATGTCTTTGTCAGTGGGCAAACATACAAAATCAGCAGGGGATCAAATACTTTTTCCCCTCACTGTAACTGTTGCCTGTGTGTTTCTTTAGTACCAGTACACTTTGTGTTGCCTTTGTTTGCTTGTGATAAAGTAATGTAACACATTGCTATTCCTGGGGATGGAGTATGATGAATACACAGAGGGTATTGTGTGTGTATTTATACACTACCAGCCTAAAGTTTGGACACACCTACTCATTTAAGGGTTTTTCTTTATTTTGACTATTTTTTACATTGTAGAATAATAGTGAAGACATCAAAACTATGAAATAACACATGGAATCATGTAGGAACCAGAAAAGTGTTAAACAAATCAACCAGATTCTTCAAAGTAGCCACCCTTTGCCTTGATGACAGCTTTGCACACTCTTGGCATTCTCTCAACCAGCTTCATGAGGTAGTCACCTGGAATGCATTTCAGTTAACAGGTGTGCCTTGTTAATTTGTTGAATTTCTTTCCTTCTTAATGCATTTGTGTCAATCAGTTGTGTTGTGACAAGGTAGGGGGGTATACAGAAGATAGCCCTATTTGGTAAAAGACCAAGTCCATATTATGGCAAGAACAGCTCAAATAAGCAAAGAGAAATGACAGTCCATCATTACTTTAAGACATGAAGGTCAGTCAATAAGGAACATTTGCAGTCGCAAAAACCATCAAGTGCTATGATGAAACTGGCTCTCATGAGGACCGCCACAGAAATGGAAGACCCAGAGTTACCTCTGCTGCAGAGGATAAGTTCATTAGAGTTATCAGCCTCAGAAATTGCAGTCCAAATAAATGCTTCACAGAGTTCAACAGACACATCTCAACATTAACTGTTCAGAGGAGACTGTGTGAATCAGGCCTTTATGGTCGAATTGCTGCAAAGAAACCACTACTAAAAGACCCCAATAATAAGAAGAGACTTGCTTGGGCCAAGAAACACCAGCAATGGACATTAAACCAGTGGAAATTTGTCCTTTGGTCTGGAGTCCAAATTTGAGATTTTTGGTTCCAACCGTCGTGGCTTTGTGAGACGCAGTGTGGGTGAACGGATGATCTCCGCATGTGTATTTCCCACCGTAAAGCATGGAGGAGGAGGTGTTAAGGTGTGGGGGTGCTTTGCTGGTGACACTGTGGTTTATTTAGACACATAACCAGCATGGCTACCACAGCATTCTGCAGCGATGCGCCATCCCATCTGGTTTGGGCTTAGTGGGACTATCATTTGTTTTTCAACATGACAATGACCCAACACACCTCCAGGCTGTGTAAGGGCTATTTTACCAAGAAAGAGAGTGCTGGAGTGCTGCATCAGATGGCCTCCACAATCCCCCGACCTAAACCCAATTGAGATGGTTTGGGATGAGTCGGACCGCATAGTGAAGGAAAAGCAGCCAACAAGTGCTCAGCATATGTGGGAACTCCTTCAAGACTGTTGGAAAAGCATTCCAGGTGAAGCTGGTTGAGAGAATGCCAAGAGTGTGCAAAGCTGTCATCAAGGCAAAGGGTGGCTATTTGAAGAATCTCAAATATAACATATTTTGATTTGTTTAACACTTTTTTAGTTACTACATGATTCCATATGTGTTATTTCATAGTTTTGATGTCTTCAATATTATTCTACAATGTTGAAAATAGTAAAAATTAAAGAAAAACCCTGGAATTAGTAGGTGTTCAAACTTGACTGGTGCTGTATATTTGTAACTGAACTATGGGGCTATTATTCCCAGCATCACAAATAGTAGAGAGATGGTGTGGTTTGGCCTCTGATTTTTGGTTTGGCTTTGGCTAACCTGGCACTTTATTATTATTATTATTATAATAATAATAATAATAATAATAATAATAATAATTATTATTATTATTATTATCAATAAACTTTGATGCTAACTGTCTGTCAGATTCGTAACGGTCTGGCGCTGGTGCCTGATGTCTCCGTGGCGATGCTGTGTGCAGTGCAGCATGCTGGGATGTCTCTCACCAACCGGTATACACCGTTTATGACCTTTGACCTTGAGTACATTCTCAATACTGGACATGCATAAACCAGTAGGGAAACTGGTGGCGAACACTGTTGGTGGGTTTTTTCTCTTCACAGGTTGTTGCTGGTGTACCTGGGGGATGGGGAGATCCCGACATACATCACTGAGGACGGGTGAGAATGTTTGCACAGTACGTTGAGTAACCACACAGTCATAAACACCCTTCTAAACCATAAACATCTCCTTCACCTTTCTCTTTTAGGAAAGCACTAGTGGTGCAGATCAGCAGTAAGGAGCCAGAGGAGCAGAAATCCAAATATCAGGTTTCTGTGTGTCTGAAAAAGGTAGAGCAAATGATTTGGAAAAGGAAACGTACAATACTCCTACGACATGATTCTCTTGTTGCTCTTGCCAAGGTTTTATGGAGGAGATGTATGTTATTATTTTCTACCTTATGTTAATGCATAGCATCTGTTGTGTACAGTGTATTATAACAGTCAATGTGTGTGTTTGCGTCCCACCACAGGGCTGCAGTGATGTGCCAGGGTTGATGCAGGCTGTGCTGTGCCTGCTCCTACCTCTGGCCTATGAGTATGACCCTGGGCTGGTGCTGCTGGTGCAGGGGCCAGGCAGTGGGGTGGGGAAGGCAGCCTGGGCACAGATCACCAGCCTACTCCAGGGCCTGGCACAGGGCCACACACTGGCCCTTCTACAGGTGAGGGACACCAAGGGAGTGAGGGCCCCACGTTGACTTGCTAAAGCCTTTGGTCCTAGCTATGCAGGTTTAAAGTATTTTGAATTATGATTTTATTTTTTGGGTCATATGAGTGTTGCAGGGATGATCCTCTAACATATTGTTGTCATATCCCAGGAGGGTGAGAAGGAGGCTGTAGGGGCCACGGCAGCCTCTCTGCTGGGGGACCCTGCTCCCTCGCTGGGGCCCCTAGGGGCCCCTCTCCCTGAGGACATGGAGGCCATGGAGAGACTGAGACAGAGGCTGCAGACACACTGGGGACTACTGCAGACTGCAGGTGAACAGATGATCACAGCCTCTAAGGGAACCTATTCAGTTACTCAAATGGATAATAACATTTTAGAAAACCGAAATAGTTATTAGTATAGACACATCAAGAAAAGACTGACCACTCAGATTGTTAATCCCTTTTTGTCCTTTTTAAAGCTGCAAAGGGGAAAGAAGTTGAGGAAAAAGGGCAGAACCAGGACTGAAGTAATCCAGGAACTGAAGTAATCCCCACACTGGTTGGGTTTGTAACCAGGGGAGAAGATCCATCTCCCAACCTTCCATTTTTATACTGTTTGTAATTTTGGTTATTAAAAACGATTCAACTATCTGTTGGTCATTCCACTATCAAGTAATTGAAAATGTCTGAAACTTGCAGCACTGCATAATCTCCATATTGCAACACAGTAACCATGATATTCATATTTTGTTATCTGTTTTAATCAGTCCATGTGTGATGGAAGTTGAGAAATAACTTCCTGTTTGCACAAATGAAGTGAAGTCATAGGGTCATTCAGTATTAATACAGAGGATGCAGCCAGCTGTTGGTCAGAAAATATGTAGACAATGCTGTGATGTGTCAAAAGCAAAACCTATTTTCTATGGAAAACTAGAGCATACCACATAAATACTGCTGTAAAACACTTCTGCCAAAATACATGGAAATGGGAAAACATCCCGAAATATCCACAATATAAATGTGTTAGTTATTTCTTAGTTGCTCAGAGTATTAGATGTGGTTCTGATTCTGAATAAGGACTACTGATATAGATGTTGAGTAGCCTATGACAAATTGTTATGCATCAAGCAGTGGTCAGTCCCTCTCTGGGCTATTGTGTGACGCATCCTCTCCTCTCATGGGACAATTTACATCCAGCCATTGACCGGCGCTGTCGGGTAGCCTATAATAAAGGCTATGCCTTGTCTGCTAACTGAGTCATCCGGTCCATTGAAATCAAACAAGCACTCCTCTTTGCCTATTGTTACCGCTACCGGCCCGAAGTGTTGTCTTCTTTTGGAGCGCCACGTCTTTTTCCTGCCAGCGGACTTTATTCCAGGTGTTCAATGAATCACAGGGATTGAGGTTTTACAGAATTTAGCTGCAGCGAACAGATAGGCTACCGTCGCTCAAAGATGTCTGGAGCTCCTGCTAGATCAGCGACTTCGCAGTCGGCCAAGATGAAAAAGGACGAGTCTTTCCTTGGAAAATTAGGAGGAACGCTGGTTAGAAAGAAGAAGTCCAAAGAAGGTAACATTTGTAAGCTTAATTCCCTAAAGCGTGACGTTATACAGTGTTATAATTACACTAATTTGTGTATGTTTTATTCCCTGCTCTCCATGGTGCTGCAATCACATTTCCCATCAATACATTATATTGACAAGGGTCTAAATGTAGGATATGACTTCATAAACCTTTTCAGTAGGAATAAAGAACAACAACAGGGTTGCATGAGCCACATCCTTGTAAATTATTTCTCATATTTATTTCAAGCCATTGAAATGGCTATGATCAGAAGTAGCCTACTATTATAAAACATTGGACTTCCATATAAATCATACATGCCATGGCAAGTCTTTAACTGTTAAACTTTGTGTAAAAAAACTATTTAAATACTCTCTCAACACTGGAAAGTTTCAAAGTGAATACTCAATGTGAGCAAGTAAAAGGAGAAACAAAGCCACAAAGAAAGTAGACTGGCAAGTGGCATTCCTCATGATGTAATAAACATAAATAGATCAGATGGTCATCACCTATAACAAGAATGCAAGGTTATTAAGATAAGGAGTAAGAGGATTACTTTCCCATGATGTTTACTTTCTCTTCTCTTTTGAATAACTTTTGGTCTGCCCTAGTTGTGCAGTTTCACTTTTTCATTTATTTACCAAGCTATTTTGAAGCCCACTTCACAACTCTCTGTCTAGTATGGACAGCTGCAAGATTTGGCCCCTGTGTGTGTGTCCCTCCCTGCCTGGCCATGTGTTTGTCATTCTCCATATAAGGAACTCTAAACGCAGGAGAATGAAGGCTAGGTTGTAATTGCTGTGGAACCCCAGTAAATTCCAGTTATCAACACTCAGTACCTCTGTATGTGTTCTGGGCACGTGCTCTATTAAGGGAAATAGATTTCCTCAAGGTAAAGCACATGTTCCGTGTTTGTTACTTATACCACAGCTTAAGAGTGCCCCTTTGTGGTGACTGGTGAAAGTGATGATAGCCCTGGACTAGGGGGATGGAAGCCAGTCTCAAGACAGCACTCTTTGTGATAAATGCAGAAAAAAAGAAATAAAATAGATGTTTTCAGTGAATGATTGAAAGGTGTAGCCAGGTCAGGTTGGGTGTAGTCTTTTTAACTAAGAAAGATCACAATCAGACAAAACGAGTTTGCTGAGTGTTATAGGCCTAATTCACTGGGTAATTACTTTATGCACTTTTTTATATTCAATTTTGCTCTTTGGGAAATTGCCTTTCATCTCTGTGTATCCCAAAGGGGTACCTGAGAGAGCTTGTTGCCTACAAAAAAATCTAATTGAAAACCACACATTCAGTACTCTATGATTTGCTCAATACGTGTGCAAGTTGCAACTCTCAGTTTGAGACTATGAACAGCAGCTCGTGATCAAGGCCAAACGCACATTATAACGCCTTCAGAAGAAAATAAATGTCTGTTATAATAGCTGTATTACTGCTATGTGTTGGAAACTCAGATTCCTGCTGTGGGGCCGGACCTAGATATCATATGTTTGTGACTGTTTCTGCGGATAAACAGAAAGGAAGTGTCTCTCCCCCTGATGTGTTCTTTTAAGGCTAGTGTCACTCAACACTGCGCTGGACTTGAGAGTGATAATAGTCGGTAAAAAGTGCAAGTCATGGCCTTAAATGTATTATAATGAAGAGTGTATCCTTACTGTCTCCATTATGTCTTAATGGGTGTGACTGAGGGAAATATTATTTCAGTGTTACAGCAATGTCTACCTCAGAAAGTACTCCCACAAGTAAGTTTTATTTTTTTGTCTCACATATTTTAGTTTCAACATAATATTTTTCTTCTAGTCTATTAGTAAATACATCATCTAGAAATTATTTGCTAGAGTAGCTACAGTGAGGGAAAAAAGTATTTGATCCCATGCTGATTTTGTAAGTTTGCCCACTGACAAAGACATGATCAGTCTATAATTTTAATGGTAGGTTTATTTGAACAGTGAGAGACAGAATAACAACAAAAAAATCCAGAAAGACGCATGTCAAAAATGTTATAAATTGATTTGCATTTTAATGAGGGAAATAAGTATTTGACCCCTCTGCAAAACATGACTTAGTATTTGGTGGCAAAACCCTTGTTGGCAATCACAGAGGTCAGACGTTTCTTGTAGTTGGCCATCAGGTTTGCACACATCTCAGGAGGGATTTTGTCCCACTCCTCTTTGCAGATCTTCTCCAAGTCATTAAGGTTTCGAGCCTGACGTTTGGCAACTCAAACCTTCAGCTCCCTCCACAGATTTTCTATGGGATTAAGGTCTGGAGACTGGCTAGGCCACTCCAGGACCTTAATATGCTTCTTCTTGAGCCACTCCTTTGTTGCCTTGGCCTTGTGTTTTGGGTCATTGTCATGCTGGAATACCCATCCACGACCCATTTTCAATGCCCTGGCTGAGGGAAGGAGGTTCTCACCCAAGATTTGATGGTACATGGCCCCGTCCATTGTCCCTTTGATGCGGTGGAGTTGTCCTGTCCCCTTAGCAGAAAAACACCCCCAAAGCATAATGTTTCCACCTCCATGTTTGACGGTGGGGATGGTGTTCTTGGGGTCATAGGCAGCATTCCTCCTCCTCCAAACACGGCGAGTTGAGTTGATGCCAAAGAGCTCGATTTTGGTCTCATCTGACCACAACACTTTCACCCAGTTCTCCTCTGAATCATTCAGATGTTCATTGGCAAACTTCAGACGGGCCCGTATATGTGCTTTCTTGAGCAGGGGGACCTTGCGTGCGCTGCAGGATTTCAGTCCTTCACGGCGTAGTGTGTTACCAATTGTTTTCTTGGTGACTATGGTCCCAGCTGCCTTGAGATCATTGACAAGATCCTCCCGTGTAGTTCTGGGCTGATTGCTCACCGTTCTCATGATCATTGCAACTCCACGAGGTGAGATCTTGCATGGAGCCCCAGACCGAGGGAGATTGACAGTACTTTTGTGTTTCTTCCATTTGCGAATAATCACACACACTGTTGTCACCTTCTCACCAAGCTGCTTGGCGATGGTCTTGTAGCCCATTCCAGCCTTGTTTAGGTCTACAATCTTGTCCCTGACATCCTTGGAGAGCTCTTTGGTCTTGGCCATGGTGGAGAGTTTGGAATCTGATTGATTGATTGCTTCTGTGGACAGGTGTCTTTTATACAGGTAACAAACTGAGATTAGGAGCACTCCCTTTAAGAGTGTGCTCTTAATCTCAGCTCGTTACCTGTATAAAAGACACCTGGGAGCCATAAATCTTTCTGATTGAGAGGGGGTCAAATACTTATTTCCCTCATTAAAATGCAAATCAATTTATAACATTTTTGACATGCGTTTTTCTGGATTTTGTTGTTGTTATTGTCTCTCACTGTTCAAATAAACCTACCATTAAAATTATAGACTGATCATTTCTTTGTCAGTGGGAAAATGTACAAAATCAGCAGGGGATCAAATACTTTTTTCCCTCACTGTATAGTGAAATACTTCCCCTGTGAAAATGAGCTGAGGACATTTCAAAAGCCCATTTGTTCAGCGTAGTTTGAGAAGTTAGTTAGGTGACCGACTGCATTTCCCCTGCAAATGTAAATAAGAAATTAATGTCTTTGTATAATAGAGTCAGAGGAGAATGTGTACATTAGTTGAACCAATAACTAATTACAAAACTTGAATGACAAACAGTACCAGTCAAAAGTTTGGACACAACAACTAATTCCAGGGTTTTTCTTTCTTTCTTTTTTTACTATTTTCTACATTGTAGAATGAAAACTATGAAATAACACATGGAATCATGTAGTAACCAAAAAAGTGTTCAACAAATAAAAGTTTATTTTATATTTGAGATTCTTCAAAGTAGCCACCCTTTGCCTTGATGACAACTTTGCACACTCTTGGCATTCTCTCAACCAGCTTCATGAGGTAGTCACCTGGAATGCATTTCAGTTAACAGGTGTGCCTTGTTAAAAGTTAATTTGTGGAATTTCTTTCCTTCTTAATGCATTTGAGTCAATCAGTTGTGTTGTGACAAGGTAGCCCTATTTGGTAATAGACCAAGTCCATATTATGGCAAGAACAGCTCAAATAAGCAAAGAGAAATGACAGTCCATCATTACTTTAAGAAATGAAGGTCAGTCAATCCGGATAATTTCAAGAACTTTAAAAGTTTCTTCAAGTGCAGTCGTTGAACCCATCAAGCGCTATGATGAAACTGGCTCTCATGAGGACCGCCACAGGAAAGGAAGACCCAGAGTTACCTCTGCTGCAGAAGATAAGTTCATTAGCGTTAACTGCACATCAGATTGCAGCCCAAATAAATGCTTCACAGAGATCAAGTAACAGACACATCTCAACATCAACTGTTCAGAGGAGACTGCGTGAATCAGGCCTTCATGGTCGAATTGCTGCAAAGAAACCACTACTAAAGGACACCAATAATAAGAAGAGACTTTCTTGGGCCAAGAAA